GTCGTGGCCGTGTGGGTGTCCCTGCAGCAGCTGACGGGTCAGTGCTGGTGGAAACGCAGGCCAAATTCCCGGGGTCAAATGCTGCAGTTTGTGCCTTCACTGGCAGACACAAAGGGCTCTGTTTCTTTTATTCTTCAGGGAATAAAGGGCTGGTCGTGGTGGTGGCATTTGTGTGCTGATCTCTGTGAGGCTGCCAAGAGCCCTGTGCCCCTCCTCGCATCCCGAGTGTTTGTGTGGTGCTGTGTCCCTCCTGCAACTTGTCCCCCACCTCAGCACAACCAGCTCCTGCCGTGGCTGGGGGCCTTTTTCTGGTCACGTTGTGTATGAAGGTGAAGTTCTTCTGGCTTGCAGGGCGCGTTGTGGGAGCCGGAGGAGGACTGCAGGGAGGGAAGGCATCGTAAAACACAGATGTGACTCATCCGGTAGAAATTCAGATCAGAGCTTGCTGATTTTTCGAAAAAGACTGCACTCGAAAACAGCTTTATTTCTGAGAGATCTTCAGAAATAGTGAAGGAGGGGAAAGTATTTCAAGACCTCCTGTGGATGCTAAACATAGCCAGCAGTAACTTCACCGTACCGCGCTGCTTCTGGTTTCTCGGTAGCCACAAGTAACCAGCGACCTTACCTTGGGCCGCGTGTTTTGTTGGGATCGATGAGTTGCCATCTGGCCACTGCATCCCGAAGTCCAAACTGCGTCATATCCCGAGTGTGATTCTAAAACACTAAAAGCCCATGGAGCAGAAGAGCCTCTGCTTGTACACAGGAGCAGCTTCTGGAGTGGCAGCGCGTTTTCAGTGCGGCAAATGGTGGTGTGAGACACGTGCCTGTGTGTGCGGCGGGCCGGGTGTTATTTCTGGAAACAAAGTGCAAGAATACTTATTGTCTTCTCAGTTAATGGTGTTTTCTATTCAGAGAGGCATCGAAGCGATGGAATTTTTCCTCCCTGACAAAGTCGTCGTCTAGGATGTCATGGGTTTGCTGCCTTTTTGTGCAAACTACAGCAGGGGACCCGTGTGCTGAAGATCAGAACTGACGTGCAGGGTCCCTGGGCACACGTTCCTGCAGGGTGATGTTCAGGCTGTGTCCCAAGAGGCTGCCAGCCCAGCCTCCATGGTAGCGCTGCTCATTTTGCAGGCGAGGGCTCAGTGACGGAGTCCAAGGGGTGTTGGGGTCTGGCTGTGCCCACTCCTCGGCTCAGGGCCCTGCTGCTGCAGCCCGGCTGGGGTGCTGGGCCTGAGGTCGGAGCCTGGGCGTCAGCTCTTGTTCTGATTCAGCCGTGCTGGCCTTAATTTGGATCAGAGCTGCAACAAAAATGATTCAGTGAATTTCTGTCCCCTCATTTCGTTCCTGTTAGTCACAGGGTGATAGCGGGTGCCGTGTATTTATGGACTGCAGGGCTGTGAGCTCCCTCCCTGCATGCTGTGGCAGCTCTGGCCTTGGGAGGTGGCCTTGCATTTAATATTTGTGCGTGCCGTCCATCCATCCTGCCCCCTCCCTGGTGCTGCTCCTCTGGGCAGCCTCGTTTCATCCGAGGGTGCTGATTTCAGAGGCAGAGCTGCTGCGAGGGGGGAGAATAGCAGTCATTCTCTCATAATGCAAATTGCCTCAAAAAAAAAAAAAAGTGTGTGAGTGGGAAAACAAGAGAAAACCCAGGTCAGATGCACACTTATTCACGGGAAGCCTATCTCCTGCCCAAAGAGCAGGTTAAATTTAGCATCCAGTGCTGGGTGAGAAGCATATGGGAACAGCTCCACAGCTGCTGGACAGGGTCAGCAGCCACAGGTGGGCCCTAGGACGCTGCGGGTACCGGCTGAGATGTGGGGCAGGCACTTGGGCAGGACGAGGGAGGCCAGTGACGGGTCCAGGAGAAGCTTCCAGCTCCTGGGTGGGACTTCCCACGGCCAGGCAGTGCTGCGCATCCTCTCGTGCTCCTGACAGGGATCAGATGGGCGAGTGGGCAGCGGATCCTTCCCCGAGCAGCTGAGCTCCGCTCCGCGAAGCGCTGCAGGCACGTACAAGCCTGCGGCTTGTGAAAAGCCTGTGGGAGGCTTTTAAAAGTGGTCGTGTTTGGAAATGTGCTGTCGCACACATCCACACAAAAATCCCCAAAATGTTTGAATCTGCATAAGCGCCGTGCGGAGTTTCACCTTGGTTTTTGCTCACCAAAATAAGGGGGTTTGGGGACTCTCTGGAGGATGGCTTTTGGTTACTGCAGATGGGCAAGCAGTTGGTCAGAGACCTCTTGCCTACACCAGGTACTTCTGGTGCCTGTGGCTCTGCCCTTCAGCAGTCACTAGCCTCTGCAAGCCCCAGATTAGGACCCAGCACCACAGAGCTCCCGGTGCAGGGCAGCCGCAGGACCGTGGCACTTTGTGTGGACAGACCTGAACCTGCAGCTCTTGCTCTTACTTCAAGCCTGACTTCCCATGGGCCCTTTGGAAAACACACCCTTCCATTTTGCTGTTTTTTTTAAAAAAAAGTTAACATTTCCTATCAATAAGTGGGCGATCTGACCTTAACCATCCTCAGCGTGCTTCAATTTTAATCACCAGTGGCGTGGTTTGGTTCTTCGTGGCAGCACCCCTGGGGCAGGTGCTGAAAGGCAGCGCTGGAGGCACTGGCCGTGAGAGCCAAGATGTGCCAGCCTTACTGGGGGGAAGAAAACCAGTACCAATACCTCGTGTTTTACAACAAACACCCTGTAGCATTGCCCTAAACATCCCCTGTTATGGAAACACCAGCCCCAATGTGTGGTGACTGATAACAGCAGGGAAGGCCCTCGGCTGTTCCTGGCAATGGGATGCGTGGAGGAGCGGCTGGGACGGGGACAGGGAAATATGAAGCTGGAGGCTGGTGGGGACAATTTGGGCACACCAGGGTTGGAATGGGGCTGGTGAGTGGTGTCTGTGTGCTGTGGCCACCTGGGGAGGGGTTCTGGGGCCCGGCAGCCTGGGTAGCAGCAGATATCTGACCCCTGGGAAGCAGAGGAGTGGAGAGCAGGGCGTGTGGCCACGTCTCTGCTTTGTCTTGTGCTGCTTCTACTCCAGACTCTAGGGCTGTTGTGTTCTGCCTCCCCCCCCGCCCCCAGCAGCACCCCTTGCTCGGACAGCACCATCCTGTGGCTGATGCATGTGAATTTGGGGCAGGAAGGGCACATGAATTTGGGTAGCAGGCCCCTCGCTGACCCTCTCCCTTTGCCTCCACAGACTCACGCCTCACTATGTTTACCCCCAAGCTATCATTCAGCCCAGCGTGGTGATCCCTACCCCTGTGCAGTCCATCACGTCTCCCTACATCGACTACACCGCCGCCAGCCAAGCCTATTCCCAGTACACCACAGCTGCCTACGACCAGTACCCCTACGCTGCCTCTCCCGCCGCCGGCTTTGTGGGATACGGCTACACGGGCGCGGTGCAGCCCCCCATCACCGCCAGCAACCCCGCGGCGCCCGCCACCGCCTTCGTGCAGTACCAGCCCCAGCAGCTGCAGCCTGACCGCATGCAGTGAGGGCCCTGCTCGCTCTGCTGCCACCTGGGACAATCTTTTGCCGAGGGAAGGATGACGACTAGGACGACGAAACCAACAGCAAAAAAATAAAAAAATAAAAAAATAATAAAAAACAACACAAAATAAAAAAAAAAAGGAAAAAAAATCACCCTGACCCTTTATCCCGTTTATTTAGGTGCATATCAATACCTAAGCTATTTATAGTGTTAAGGGCAAACCCAAACCCTTGCAGTCTGACTGTGCTCATGAAAAAGGACTTTGGGTAAGTTTTCTTTGGATCTGGACAGATATTGTCTTGAAGATGTTCTTAAAGTGACTGAAATGTTTCACAGGAAAACTACAGATTCTTGCACACATCACAGTCTGCTTCCATCACCTATGGTCTTCTTTCCAGCCCCCACCCCGTCTGCCCCGCCAGCCCTCCCTCCTCATCAAACCTGCAATCTTCTTATTTACTGTTGAGGTACAGAGGTACTCGGAGAACATGGAGAAAAGCAATCTTATTTTTTGGTTGTACAAAAACTTTGTAATACTCAGAGATGCCTTACAGAAAAAAAGAAAAAGAAAAACTATTTTTTAATATTTATTGCGATTTTATTCGCATGAGCTGTGAATTGCAGACAGAAGAATAGTAGTAAGTAAGTATCTGCCTTGTTTAATTCTCATTTTACTAAATTATTGTATGTAGGTAAAAGTTCCTAAGTAATTGCTGAATCACTTCAACATGCAAAAGGGAATATTGGCTTGAAGGAGAGCAGAATATTCCTTTAGTCAACGCACTGTACTATTTTCTTATTGTAATTGTTACTCTGTTAAGATTATCTCAAATTTAGGTATATTTTTAAAATGCAAAAAAACAACAACCAAGAATACCGAACATTTTTGTCTACTTTGGTAGATTTTTTTGTTACAATGCTGCAAACTATGGAGACATTTACAGTATTTATGTAAAGGAGATTTGGGGCTGTTGGCCAGCAAAGGTTAGGGGTATATCATGAGTGGAGCAAAAGGAAAAAAGGTGTTAAGTCATTGAACAAATGGGTAAACAGAACCTTTTTATGCCTATAATGCAACAGCCAAATAAAGGAAGAGAAAAGACAATGTAAGTTAAGTGCATTTCTACAAAGAACAGCAATAAACTATTTTAACTTTTAAAAGGATCGGATACTGTATGGTACCATGTTTGCGTGGCCGGAGTGCAGGGGGGAGTAGCAAAGCGACCCGATGCAGATGCACTGGTCTTGGCCCCTGAATGTGCCGGGGGGGCTGGGACACACGTCCCATGCACTGTTGGTGGCTCTGCATCTCCTGAGTCACCCGTGGCTCTGGCACCGGGGGCTTTTGAGCTCCTGGAGTGCCCTGCTGGATACACGAGGTCTCCCTGGTGCTCGTGCCCAGCCGCTGTGGAGCAGAGCGGGTAAAGTGCCGCTGTCCTGGTGCAGCAGCATCCGCACCTCGTGTGGCCTTTCCTTCTGTTACTCGCTCAGAGGAAGGTTTTATTTTATTTTGTTTTATCCAAAATGGAGTCCATCCAGCGGTCGGAGGTCTGCCTGAGCCCTCCTTCAGTTAATGTCGGGTCGCTGAGGTTCCCTCGGGGCGGGCAGGGCCTGGTCAGGCTGCGGGCAGCGCCGGGCCTGCTGCAGGCACCCGCACCCCCCTGAGCCTTGCTCCTGTGGCCACGTGTGATTTTACCTCACCATCCTGCTTTAGAAATTTGATTTTTGGATTTTGACTTCCAATATCTGTTTTTAAAAGTAAATAAAAACGATTCTACTTGAACGTGCTGGTGATCTATTTCGTCTCTCCAAAGGCTACGGCAGAATTGGTGCCAAGACGTCGCTGCCTTTGGCACCAGCCCGTGTTACTGCGCAGGGGATGATGCCTGAAGCCAGCACGGGGGGGAAGAGGGTGCCATGGGATGGAAGAAGTGGCAGCACGGCTCTGTGTCTGATCAAGTGCCCTGGTGGAGCTGGAGGCACACGGGGGGCATGTCTAACGTCATCAGTAGGCCTCAGAGTAAACAGCCCATCTAGATGAATGGAAACAGCTCATTCCTCCCTGCTTCGTGTTGCATGAGAACGCGGAGCCTGATGGTGCTCTGTTAGCCCTGCCCGGGGCTTTACTTGGAGCCACGCGGGTGACATTTCTTTCCTTTTTAAGTAATTGCTTTCTGTGTACGGCTGCGGGACTGCCAAAGGAGTAAGAGCCCAGCCGCATCCAGCCCGGCCGGCAGGAGAGGGGCCTGGCCTGAGCAGCCGCTGGCTTTGAAGTCCTGTGGGGTGGGGATTGCTCAGCAATTCTTCTTGCTGCCTGTCACCGGTGGTTTGGAGGAGGTGGGGGAGGATTTAGGGCCAGTGGCTGTGCGGGGAGCTGCATGGGAGCACCAGCCCCGGCCCCATGGTGTCCTTGTCCCTGAGCTGTAGTGAGGTCCCGCTGGGCCCCATGGCCACTGTCTGCACCTGGGACCCGCTTCTGCCGCAGCCATCAGGGAGACCGAGGCCTCTCAGAGCCATTTGTTGATGAAAAGAAAGCGCCCAGCGCATTGCAAAGCGAGAAGAGTGATGAGTTTCCATCGAGCTGGCTCTGGTTTCCTGAAAGGTGGCCAAAACTGCCAGCAAGCAAGGGCAACGAGTGGCGCTGAGAAGCAGCACAGCACAGCTCCCTCCTTCCCCAGGGATTCCTGGAGCCCGCTCAGCCCCGCTCTGGGCTCATTTCGAGAAACAACCCCACCAGCCCAGCAGCCCCAGCCAACCTGCCGGCTTCCTGCCGCTGACAGCCCAACTGGGAAGTTGTGGCTGGGCTGAATGATAATGAAATCTGCCAGCAAGCTTCCCACATGGAAGTGGGAGCGCGATGGCTGCGAGGGCAGGCAGGGAAGGATGTGTGCCTTGTCCCCAAAAAGGGCCCGAGCACCTCCTTCACCCAGCGCTGGGGAAGTCTGGAAAGCCCACAGGATTGCTGAGTGCTGGTCTGGGTACAGGGAAAAGTGCTTAAATTGAATTGCAATGGCTTAAAAGGTTTATTTATTTATTTATTATTATTTTATTTTATTTTATTTTTCGATTTTGTATTTTATTTTATTATTCGATTTTGTATTGTATCTTATTTTACTTTATTTCATTGTGCTGGTATGAGGTAAGAAGAGCTCTGCTCCTTGTGGCTGGGGTGGGCATGGGGTGAGCATGGGGTGCTGCTGTAGGAGCTTTGGTGCAGCAAAACGTGGCCAGAGGGATGCAGGAAGAGTGGTGAGGATGATTTTTTTTTGAAGGGGAATGGCTTTTAGGGGGGTGATTTTGGCAGGGCAGCTCAAGCAGCACCAGCTGTGGGGCACAGGTGTCCCAGGGCTGGGTCCGGTCATTTGCAAGACAAATTCAGCTGTTTTCCCTAGGATGTGTTTTCCCAGCACATCAGGCTGCCCAGCTGAGCCGTGAGCACCGTGAGTTGAAGCACATCACCACCATAAATACCAGCACCAAAGTCTGGGATGAGCCCGGCATTGGCTCCCATCCCAACACTGGCCTGCAGCAACGTGTCAAGACACCCCCAAGGTGCCAAGGACAGGTGGGGAGCCCCCCAGGCCTGCACCATCACCCCCAGCCCTAAGGGACGGTGGCATCCCCATGGGAACAGGGCGCCACAGCACAGCCTGCCCACAGTCCCATTCCTAAGGCAAAGCCAAAACTTCACCCCTGAGAGGGGAAGGCTGAACCCAGGATTTCTGTGTGCAGTAACTGGGCCGCTGGTGGCACTTGCCCTTTAAAATCAAGTTCACAGCAAAACAGTTTTGCCCCCTTGCATCCAGGGAATGCTAACAGCATCCTTTTCTTTCTCTCCCACTTCTGGCTGAAACTTGTTTTTCCCTCCTTTGTGCCTCTCTGAATCCTGCCAGCTTAGAGATTCCCTTGTTCAGAGAGAAAAAAAGGGAAGAGAGAAAAAAAAAAAAAAAAAAAGAAAAAAAAGAAAGAAAGAGAAAAACTTAAGCCCAGGATTAAAAAACCCATCACTAAAATAGTATGAACAGCAAAGTCAACTGCCTGCAGCAGGGACCCGCGGCATGCCGGTCACGTATCGCCAGCCGGGGCTGGTCATGTGCTGCACGAGATAGTTCCTGGAAAAGCTTCTGCTTGGCCCGATAGACCTGCGGGCTGCTGATACCACCGTGCCTCTGCAAACGGCCGGGCTGGTGTGGGAAACATCCTAAAATTATAGGGAGGGGGGTGGAGCAGTCACAGCTTCCCCTTGGTGGCACAGAACTTGGTCCTGCTCCTGAGCTGGGCAGTGACCGCTGCAGGGGCGACCTGGCCGGGAAGGGGAGGGTTCCTGAGGATTTTTTTTAATGTTTTTATGTTTTCCCCACACACACACGCACTACATTTTGTGGCGTTTCAGCTCCATCAGTAATCCCCAAAGCAGGACCTTGCACAGGATAACAGCAGAGCTGCAAAGCCCCGCGATGCGGAGCTGCTGGTGGCACTGGCGGTGTTACTGGGGGTCTGACACCCACAAATGGGGGGGCAGCGGGGCACGGCGAGGGGGCGATGGCCCAGATAAGGCTGGGTGGGGTGGGAGGCAAGTGCAGGCTCTGATTTACCAGCCGCGGGGCGTGCTCAGGAGCCTGGCGGTGCTGGGGCTGGAGGCCCGCGGTGGAGATGTCGGAGGGGGAGACCTCACAGACAGGGGGGTCACAGTTCTCGGCCTCCAAACCCAGGGCCAGGACAGGGCGAGGTGCTGGTGTTGGGCTGAAGAGGGACTTAGGGCTTCCACACCTTCCTCTAGCGATCCCAAAATACATGTGCACGAGTGTATTTATTTGTTTGTGCAGATATTAAAATTCCTACATATAATTTAGAAATATAATTACATACAGATAAGTTTAAACACACATATATAGCATTTATATACAAAAATCCTTATGCATACACACAAAGTAAATATTTTCCCTCCATCCTGCGGCCGCCTTCAATCCGCAGCCTCAGCATCAAGCCGTGGGTTTGCAGGATTCAGCAGGGCTGTGCCAGTGTTTGTCCCCCATGTGCTGGTCCCTGGGCACCTCCTGCACCAGCCCTGTGTGTCCCAGCTTTTTATCCACTTTTATTGAAGGGTGCCTTGCAGTGTCTTGCAGGAGCCAGCCGGCTTCCAACAGCAACCAGATAGAGGAGCTCAAGGGGGAATATCCTGGAGGAGGGCTGGGCGAGGTGGGCTCAAAGCCCTCGTTCAGCAGCTGCTCGGCAGCCGGCTCACTCACTGCCATTGCCTCGATGAGCCCCCAGGTCCCAGCAGCAGGTTTCTAGGGGCGTTCAGACATGCAAAGCCAGGGAGCGTGGCCTATTGTAAAGTGGCGAGGAACACGTCTCACTTTGAAAATAGCGCCGAGTGTCTTAATACATGTTTAACACTCAGAAGATCCTTGAAACCCGGACTAAGCATGCCTGAGTGGTTCCCGTTTAATCTCTCCCTCTAGATAAACACTGGGGCACTGTGGCTCGGCAGCCACAGCGTCCATTTGCCTTCCTGAGTCACATCAGCTGGCCGTGTTTACTTTAGCTTCGTCCATGCGAGCACATTAAGTAAAGCTGGAGCTCTGCAAAATGAAAGTGAAATGAAATAAATGTGTGGTGCCATTAGTTTGCTGCGATCGGGCTTTAAAATTAGCAGGTTTTCAGATGTAAACATGTAGAATGAACCCTGAGGGGGGAAAAAAGCCTCCAAAAACCACATCCTACCTTATTTTCAGCACTGTATGCTGCTATTTATTGCATGCCATTTTAGTAAGGTAAACTAATTCAGTTTCCTGTTTCCAGTTAATTTTATATGTGCATATATACATTGGTCATGTATTTATATCAGATAGAAGTCTGATTAGAAGCATATGTAGACGAACATACACATTTTCTATCAATGGTTGTGTATTCCTATACAAATAGCAATCTATAGGTAGATATGAGTGGATATACACACGATATGATGGATATGCACTCGTATATATAGTGCATATGTATGTAAATACATGTGACTGTCCATATACCTGTATGTAAATATAGATGTGTGTGCGTGGATACATATGAATGACTTATTTCAGCTGCTATTTAAGCTTTTATTTCTTACATCCTGGCTGCTGAAGGTGCCAGATGAAGCACGGATTAGCAGAAGGTTTAGGTGGAGGAGCACACACCAGCAGCCATGCGATGTAACCCGTTTAATGGCAGGTCACCAATGTCGGGGTGCTGGGCCCAGGTTCAGACAACACAGAGCTCTGTGCACAGCTGGTGGGGTTTCTGTGGGAGCGAGGTGCTCGCAGTCAGCCCAGGGAAGACCCTTAGATTCCCTGCTCCCTGTTTCATGCACACAGGCACATAAACGCACGGTTTCCTCTCCCCATCCCCATCTGACACCGCTGGATCCGAACACACAAGGCAGTGCTCCAGCGAGCCCTCAGCCCAGCATCTCCAACATGTCCTTCTCTCTGCAAGCTGTGCACTGAGAGGCTTTAGAAAAGAAAAATCCAACCAGCAAAGCCCACCCTGAGCCGTGACGGCCCAGCGGCTGCAGCAAGGTGACCTGACGCTTGCTCATTTCTCCAGGGAGTATGACCAGGAGCGGGGCCCTGGGGCTGTGGGGCCACAGGCTGATAAGGAGCAGCTCCCTAATCTCCAGCCCCAGCAGCCAAGCAGGCAAAAGTGATAAGGCACAGCCACCCTGTGGCCGGGGGTGCACGCTGGGGGCTCTGCATGGGTGCCTGCACCTCGCAGGGGGTGGGATGCAGTGTCCCCTCTAGCCTAGCACCCCTCGCTGTCCCCGGTGGGATGCAGCAGGGTCAGGGCACAGCGCACAGCCGGTGCTTGCCATCAGGGTGGGCATGGGCAGCCTTGCTTCTAAATGGCCAAAAACTGCAAGGTTCAGTTAACCTTGCCAAAATAATTCTTAATTTCCCTGGTGGCTGCCAGGGAAATAGCCCAAACCAACTGTAGCTGTCACGCACCCCAGGAGAGGAGCTTCCCGGCAGTGCATGGGGCACGGGGACCTGCAGACCCTGCTGGGGGATGTACAGAAACCGAGGTGGCTGTGCTGGCACTTGGGTAGTGCCACCAGTATTTAAAAGGGCCCTTTGCTGTGCCCCAGTGCTGGAGGCTTCCCAGAGACTTTGCTGTGGATCTGTGCTGCTGCTGCGAGAGAAAATGCCCAGAGCAGAGCCCACAGTGGGACTGGGAACCAAAGCCACCGTGGGAAGAGGGAAGGACTGACGTGTGTGTGGTAATCCTGTGGGTAGGGCCCTGATGGGCACCAGGACATGGTTATGGGGACACTTTAGTGTCCAGTACCTGGGTTTCCCTGGGCACTAGAGGTAGAATAAATCACACATGCTCGTCCAGGCCCAACAGAGCATTTTCTTCGGCCTGGCAGCAAAGCAGAGCCCCGTGGGACTGAGGAGCATCCCAGTCTGATGTGCTGTGATGTGTAGATGGGTAATGGGTAAAGTGGAAAAAATCAGGATAAAGCAGTGTTTTTAACAGTTTGCAAGCATTTGCATTAACTTCAGAAAAGCAGGAGTGAAGAGAGGGCTGCGTGTGACCAGCAGTGCAGCTGGGCAGTGCCAGGGTGCTGAGACCAAGGGTTTGTGCTCCCCTCCTTTAGGGCCCAGCTGCATTTTGGCTCAGGGACCTGCCCTTTCCCTGTGTCTTTGGTTTTTGCCCAGTCCCTGGCAGGGTCCCGGGAGGCAGCAGCAGCACCAAATCCTGCAGCGGTGCTGGCTCTGCTCCACCTCTCCCCATCTCCCTGGGATAAATTCACCAGCCCCCGTGTGCCAGCCTAGCTACACGGATGATAAGCTCAACTCCAAAGCACATTTTTGTCAGAGGGCAGCAAGATAAAATCTTAAAATAGCTCTGCGTGACATTTGACAGGGGCTGTGCCGCTGCCCTCTCTGCAGGCTGCCTTCCCCCTCCTCCCACCCCAGCCTTGGGCAGGAGCATCCCCGTGGGAAGGCTGCTTCCCAAAAACTGAAGCAGCCCACGTGCTGCTGGGGAGGCAGAGCTGCCTGGGAGGCAGCACCCTGTGCTCACCCAGGGGCACAGCACCAAGCACAGCGCCGCATGGCGCAGCAAAGCCCTGCCTCCATTTCCCGGTGTCCCCATCCTGCAGTGCCCCGCTGCCAGCAGCTCGGCCCCCGCTCTGCCCCTGTCCCTTGGCTCGGGCCAAGTGTCTCCTGGCCAAGTCCCCAGCGAGGAAACAAAGCGGAGAGCCCCGGTGAAGTGGAGGGAGCTGGGGGAGGCGCAGTTCCTCGTACAGCTCGTCTCCAGCTCTGGAAAACAACTCTGCTGCTGAAAATAAACGTTAAATATTCCCCTTGCTGCTGTCGCCACCTTTTCCTCTCCCTCTGCTCCTGGCTCTGCTCAGGGAGGTTGGGGTGTGCTTTGCTGGGGTGCCCCTGTGGCTCTGTGACATTGGGTGCCATGGAGAAGATTGAGGAGGCGATGCCAACATCCCCCAGGCACACGGCACTGTGAGCACACAGCCTGAACCCCCTGATGGCACAGTGCGTGGCGCTGCTCCCCGAGCTTGGGGCAGCATGGACAAGCAAACATATACAGGAGTTCAGCCTTCCACGGTGGATTTTAGGCACACGATCCAGCTCTTTCCAATCTCGCTTTTATTTCTGAGCAGCTGTTAGCATGCCATACTTAAAGGCACAGTTTCAATTCCTATCTATCTTGAGCTTTTTTTTTTTTTTTTTTTTTTACTTTAATGGAAAACAAGATTAAAAAAAGTCTTCAAAGAAAACAAACATTGCAATGCCCAGTCAAATTTTCTCACAATTTTAAAAATGCCTATGAGAACAACTGCTTTTGCACAGTTAGTTAAGAATTTCAGTGGGGAGTTTGCAGCATTGCCATTACACTTAAGAAATAGAGCGTTTAATATGGGAAAACCACAGCCCAGTTGCACCCAGGCCGCAGCACCAGGGGCTGGTGCCTATGAGTGACCCTGGGAGCTTGACTGGGTGCTGGTGCCCCTCAAAGGAGCCTTCAGGTCCTTGCCCCATAGGGCAGGTGATGGTGTGGGGCTGTGCCCTGGGCTCCTCGAGTTTAATGGGGACCAGAGCGTGGAGCCCATGCTTGCGGGTTCTCCTGTGGCCCCGTGTGCTGGGTCAGGGAGCTGAGGCCAGGCAGCATGGTGCAGGGATGCTGTGAGCCGTGGCCTGGGATGCTGAGGGGCCACCAGAGCTGCATGGCTTTAAATGTAGCTCTGCCGGGGGCTCTGGGGGTGGTTTGGGTTTTTGGAAGGTTTCCCCCTGCATCCACAGCCTCACTCACCTTCTGCACAAACCCTCACTCACCCTCTGCTGTCAGGGCAGCGTGGAACTGCTCTTCCCAGCAGGAAAGGCTCGGGTGCATCCCCTCCACACCCCTCAGCAGTAAGCAAATATTTGCAGACATTTCCTAGCAGCCACACAACACACACCTGCTCCAGCACGGCACCGCGGTGGGACAGCCCAGCGCCTCTCTGACACACATGGTGGGCTCCTCGGCATGAGCTGGGCTGAGAGCTGGAACTTGATGGCTGCGAGTGCTCCACGTCCCAAAGCAGCCGCCCCGTGCCCCTCTTTGCTGCGGGTGACAGCAGGGACGTGCCTCAGCTGGTCACCCAGGGACAGCACTGTCCCTCTACAGCCCGCTTGTCCCCAGAACACCGGTGAAGATAAGGGCAGAGGATGCTTAGTTTGTGCTGTCATCGAGACAGAATAAAGCCCGTCTGCCTCAAATGCATTTTTTTTTTTTTGAGTTAATTGTTCTCCTTGCATGCGGCTGTGTGTGCCTGGCCCTGCTGCTCTCGCTAGGCAAACGGAGCGCTGATCATTGTCAGATGGTTCACGCCGAGGTTTCTGTTTTGTTTTGTTTTTACAAGGATCCAAGATGATAGGGGGAGGGAAAAAACTTTTGTCCTCTGCTTAAAATAATTCAAGAGCTTTCCACTGTCTACGCCAGGCTCGAGCAGACATTTGCATAACAAATGAGTTTCTCCTCGCTCTGCGGCCCCAGAAGGCTCCTGCAGCTCCCAAGGACCAGGCAGGTCCATTTCCACCTCCACCTCCACCTCCATCTCCACCCACCACAGGCCCCACAACCCCGTCCTGTCCCACTCACCCCCCGCCAGCAGCGGGGAATGGAGAGGGATGCAGAGGTGACGAGTTTTTTGGCACTTTGGTAAATCGAGACATAAACTGCCCCTGAAATATCCCAACAGCTAAACGCTTGTTTGGTGACCAACAAATCATTCCAGGCGGCTTTTATTTTGCTATCAAAAATGCTACGAGTGGTTTTGTGGAGGTTTCTCCCTGAGGTAAAGATCAGTGACAGCTGAGGCCGTGCAGGACCCTCCTGTCCTGAGCTAACATGGTGGCCCTGTGCCTGGCGGGGTTTGCCGCCAGAGATGCACAAGCACGAGGCTGGGCCTGAGGCCCCACACAGGGCCAGAGAGCCAAGCGAGGCCTTGGGAGTTTCATGGGGTTAATTTTGACCCACACAGTTCTGCTCTTGCTGTTTAAAGCGATTCCATAGCAGAGAGCTTCCGAAGGGCACCTGC